ACTATAACTGAACTGTCTCTGTTTTTCAAGTGGGCTTTAATTTATTTTCCAACAGTACCACTATTATAAAATCAAATGAATGGGTATATTTGATATATACCCAAGGTACTGAGTAATTATCGTATTCATTTGCTTCATGGTATTGCTCTCTGATAACAATATTACACCACCCTAGTTTTCCCATTTTTATACAGGGAACACAATATACAGTTTTTCCTCTGAGGCTTTCTGCAGTGTAAAACCAATCACATTTTAATTTCTTTCTGTAATATTAAGTCCATAGATGGTCATAGATGGCTAAGAATATTTTTACAAATTAAATTAACTTCACATTTACCAGGACAATCACCCAGTCGTCTTTGGGTTTCTGAATGTTCCCCTTTGAGGCACAGCTACAGGTTGTATCCTTAATGAAATGCAAGGTGTCCTTGTCCTGTTGCCGTTTTGTCATGCCAAGGGAGTGTGCAGGGGGCACATTGGATGCCCTACGACAAGGGCTTTTTGCTAATGAGGATTCATACTCTCTGTTTTATTGCTGGCCATATCAGAGGCATCAGTAACTGGCTTTATTGTAGCGTCACTGGGGATTGACCACAAGGACAGCATGAAAGATACAACCTTTGTTTTACTGCAGTACATGTTAATGGCTTGGCTGGAGGATGTAGGTTGATGGTTCTATCATTCTTTCTAGTGTTCTATTGTTCTATCCATTCTTTTGTTCTGTCTGTCATTCTATTCATCATTCTACCCTTCGTTCTATCTGTCTGTCTGTCTATCTGTCTGTCTGTGTATTGTTCTGTCTGTATATCTGTCCATCCATCCATTGTCCATTGTAATAGACAAAGATGTATCCCCTCCCCCAAGCTCACTTCTTTTGCTATATCTCAAGAGTGTCTTTGATCAATGTTTGATAAAGTGGAATAGGCTTCCCACAGCATGCTGCAAGGTAGTGCTTCTGAACGCAATCAGCCCCAAGACGTGCATTCAAAGGCCAGCTCTGCCCAGATCATCATCATTCTCCTACATGACTCTGTTGTTCTAGTGAACACTTCTGGATGATTTAATGGGTCAATCAGGACGACAGAAGGCATTCTGAGTTTCCTTGCATCCCTCAAGACCACTGATCCGTCAGTCTATGCGGTGTTAACATTAACCCAGGCCACTCCTCCAGTTAAACCTTGCTGTAGAGGCCAGTGTGGTGCTCAGGGTGATGGTGTCTCACTGATTGCCCTTGAATATCCAGGCAGCTCAAGTGTCATTGAATCAGCTTTATGGAAAAGAGAATGAGGGATAGACTAATGCATCGCTTCATCAGTGAGCTGTGGGGTCAACGGGAGGAAGTGAATAAATTGAAGTGGTCATTAATTAGACTAGAAGATTTTGTTATTTATCTTTGATAGTGCATTATATTTGTGAATAACTAAAAACAGATTACAGATCACGCAGAGCTAAATACTTCAGCATCATGCAGTGATTGTTCATTTGAATGTTAATATAGCAAACAAGTGGCAATTATCATGAGTGTTTATTCATTGAGAAGAGAAAGATTGATGCAGCGGGTCGAGAAGGGTATATACAGTGGGTACGGAAAGTATTCAGACCCCCTTAAATTTTTCACTCTTTGTTATATTGCAGCCATTTGCTAAAATCATTTAAGTTAATTTTTTTTCCTCATTAATGTACACACAGCACCCCATATTGACAGAAAAACACAGAATTGTTGACATTTATGCAGATTTATTAAAAAAGAAAATCTGAAATATCACATGGTCCTAAGTATTCAGACCCTTTGCTCAGTATTTAGTAGAAACACCCTTTTGATCTAATACAGCCAGGAGTCTTTTTGGGAAAGATGCAACAAGTTATTCACACCTGGATTTGGGGATCCTCTGCCATTCCCCCTTGCAGATCCTCTCCAGTTCTGTCAGGTTGGATGGTAAACATTGGTGGACAGCCACTAACATTGATATTATTATAGGATGAAGAGGTGCAAATGAAACTCAGTGCAACAGTCAGCCACATGGTGCAAAAGATGCTTTCAAACAGTAGTGTGTTTGTATATTTTCAATAAAAAAACAGGCAGGCTCATACATTGAGTAAAATCATGAAAAAGGTTAAAAAAGAAAATGAGCGCCATTCCCACAGAAGAAGCAATAGGTGTTGCTCTGTTTGATGGAAAAAGAGAAGAGAAAAATGAAAGGGAGGAGAAGATACTTAGAGAGAGAAAGAGAGCAAAGGGGGTGAAATTGCAGCCGATGGTGCTCAGTCAAGGGCAGAGAGCATATCAACGGGTTCTTCACCAACTGCTCCTGAAATATGCCAGAAAGACAGAGATTGAGAACTGAAAAGCTTGAAAGAAGTCAAAGAAAGATAGAAATCAATAGACTGTCTCCCTGGATGCCAATATAACACTCCCAGTCCCCAAGGCCTGTAAAAATTTAAAGGGGAAAAAAATAATAATATTACAAATAGATAGAAAATAATAAAAGCTAAACTAAAAAGAACTAGAGGAATAGCACAATGCTGAAGATATCCACACATTAATTGTTTAAATTACTGAATGCAAAGAGATTTCTGAAATTAAAAAGAGGCTTTATACTTGTTTATACATACACAACATCAGTTTTTTCAAGCGTTTTCATTTCATCAGTGGATATTCTGTACACCAAAAACAGGCTTGGAATTTATTAAATGTAATGTGTTTATGCTGTATCTGTTTGATTTTCAAATTAAAAATACCAATTTAGCCTTATAATGAACCATTATACAGTGCCTGTTGTCACTGATTTTTTTCTTGTACGTTTTATACTAAGCTTTCTCTCTCTCTCTCTCTCTCTCTCTCTCTCTCTCTCTTAAAAACTATTTTTAGAGCCAATACACAAATATTAATTTTTGCATCAGAACAACATTGATAGTTTCATCCAAGAGAACTCTAAATTTTGCCACCTCACACTGAAAGAGCTGATCGTGAGTGGTTGAATGCTGATATCAGAGATCCACCCTGACCTCATGCATAAATTCACAGATGGTTTATTTTACTTTTTTTTATTAGTAAATAGGGATCATTTGGAGACGGCAGATGTGCTGCTCAGAGGCATGCCAATGGCCATTGTGACTTTGCCACAAAAGAAATAGAAAAATGCAGAGTTTCAAATGGAATGCAAAAAAGGACAAAGGAATCCCAGAATGCCATGCGTCGACCTGTTCTTTGGAATTTGGTGCGATTTTGCCTGAATTCCAATTGCCTTGAAAAAACGAAGTAAAGTGAAAAAGGATTAGTATGTTGTGCTGACAAATGCTTAGTTAGTATAGTTTACTTACACGAGAGTTCTAGTAACTAAAAAAGAACTGTAGGGGGTACTTGATCCTTTCATTTAGGATTACTCATTACTTAGTATAGCTACTCACTGACTCCCAGAGTGCATTGCAGCATGAATAAATTATGCAGTTGCTTTGTTTTACAGTTGTTGATTTTATTTGCCAATTTTATTTGCTGTCTTGTGTCAGTAGTAGCACAAAAAAGAGCAAATAAAATGGTTATTGTTACAATTAATGAAAATTAATGGAATTGAATTGTTACCATTGTTGTGATTCACATGCTGAATGTTTAAGTCTGTGTGTGACATCAGCATATTAACACACACTATTTAAGGATTATATAAACCCAATTATATGCTTCTTAAGGTATTAATTAACAATGAAAAAGTTCATTAATAAACACACAAAAAAACACACTAATGCTTTAATCAGAAAATAAGTCACTTTCTAAAAGCAACCGATTTATTACTTTTCTTCCTTTTGAAATCAAATAACTCTAACTTCATGATGCAATGCTGCATTAAGAGAAAGAAAATTATAGTAATATAAATAAAGTTCCAAGTGCCCAACCAAAGGGAACACTAATCACTATAATGGGGAGTTAAATAAACATCAACACATTTTAGGAAAATCAACATAAATGTATGAAGTTAGCAAATATTTCAGTTGTATTGAAAATTCAACATTCAAGATGACTTTGGGAAATGAGTGAATGCAATTAGTGAAAGATAACTGCAGACATGGAGGAAATAGGGGTTATGCGCAACAGACTTCCATATTCTGTTACCCGGGTCTCGTCGCTTCCAGTTCAAGCGTTTTGCATATGCTTCGTTAAATATGAAGCAGTTTTACTCAAGATGCCTTCAAAGTAGATACCAATGATGATCATAACCAATGGCCATCACATATGCGGACTGATATCTAAAAGTTTTTTTAATTTTTATTCTTTTCGCATTTAGATATAAAAATTGAATAAAATGTCAACAGTAAAAACAGCTAGCTAGTTTAACTGATTATCTAAAGTCCATAGATATCGCTATTATTTAATACGGCTGTTAACACGTTCTCCGACAAGCGGAAGCAATGAGACCTGTTTTCCGGGTTTGGTCAGGTGATGTTCGACATATACCCTATTAGTGAAAAGTCTATTAAGACTCTTTTTCTTTTCTTCTTCTGTTGTTATGTTGCACATTAGCAACATATTAGTGCACTGCTGCCTCACACTGGTTTATTAATGTCATTGGTTCCTTTGTGGCTACTTGAATATTTTAAGTAAGTGTCACTCAAAACAGTAAGTAAATTGTTTTATTTGCCTTGAAAGTAGCTGTAACTTAATAAAACCTAGTAAGTATAACAACTAAGTAAAGATAACTAATTAAATCTAAGTAAGGTAAACTATTGGATTTTACAGTGTTGGTCAAAACAACCCAATTGCTGGGTTTGTCCCTATTTTACCCATCAGTGTTTAGAGTGTACAATCAGTATTAGGTGCTTCTACACCCTTGTTAATCAGCTATCATTTCCCTCTGATTTTAGGAATTAATTATGGGTAAGGTTAGGTTTAGGGGTGGGGACTGGGTTAAGTCTGTATTTTTGGACAGTCATGTTGATCCAGGAACATGTCTTACTTGGCAAAATCACGGCATCCGTAGGCACAAGCACGCGTGAGCTGTTAACCCAGTAACGGCATATGAAAGGAAACTTCTATCAGCCGCACCAGTTCTGGTAAACAATAGCAGGTGCATTTGAAAAAGGTTGTTGTTAAATTTGTCACTTTTTTTCTCTCAGATAAAAACCTGTCCACATATTCACTCATCCAGGAAATCATCTAATGAGTGAGATTGGTGTTCCTATCACACCTGAAGACTTTCTGAAAGCTTCATCTCACAAAGGTGTTAGAGTGACTTATGCTAATCCAAGCAAGTAAAGCAAGTTTCATGGTTCAGAGAGGTTTCTCATGCTCTCTAATACTTTGTTTGTATGTGTGTGTCTGTGTTTGCAAGTGTATGTGTGTATTCCCCTCATTATTAGCTCTTTATGAAACAGAATCGATTAGTTATTGATTTCTGCCTGTTAAATGCACATTAGCAGTCTGGCTAGCATGTGACTAGCATCTGATTCAAAGAAAAACAGGTGGATGAGCAAAAAGCCATGTCAAATGGTCCTGTAACCTGCTTACTGCGAATCTAAACCTGTGACAGAGGATCTGTTTCAGAATATCCAATGTGCAGGAAAAAGTTGCCGCATGCTAATTTTTGAATTTAGATTTTTGTTATTTTCGCAGTGTAAAATTTCAAATAAATCATAGAAAATCACAAAAAAACAAAGGGTTCTCATCTTTTAGAGTCCATAATTGCCAGAATATTGCAGGAGCAGGAATTTTATGCCTGATTTAGTAACTCCTGTAGCAGACCTCCCATATTAGTTGAGTTATTATCTGAATGACCTTCTCCAGCTATGTGAAGAGCAGGGCGAAATAGACAAATATGAATAGATTTCAAATCATTAGTCTGGGTTATTTTACAAAAGCAGATTGTAGAGACAGGTAATGGTCATCATGTACCGCAAGATGCAGATTAATCACTGTATCATTGCAATAAGACAATTTGACTGTGGTGAAACATGTAGCCTAATATATATGTATATAAAAAGAAGACAAAGTATTTGTTGTTGTGTTAAGGATGTTTAGTGGGTTTTTTTCAGAAGCCTGAAGTATTTCACCCTGCTTACTGCAAAATAAAGTGAAAAGAAAAGGCCAAGGGCGACAGTTAGCAGAGCAGTTTGTGTTTAGATGTTTATTGTTTGTTTGAAAAATGAATCCAGAAACTGCTTCCGTTCCGTAGAAACAAGTTTTCAGTTCTTATGTCACTTTTTTTTTTCTTCCTACCAGGATAAATTGAGACTGTTCCATTAAAATGCTGACCTGAATGACAATGAGCAAATGTTTTTTCAAGTCTGCTGGTTACTTTCTTAATCTATATAACACTATTCACCCCTATGGACAAAAATGACAGTCTCGGTTATGAAAAGCAGTGCTGAGTTAAACAGAACAATAAATTAGGAGATGTGAGAATCTTCTCTGTGGGATAACAATTGGGGTCCATTTCGCAACCACATGCCGAGAAGAAATCTGGATATGCATATGTTTAGTGCTTGCCCATTGTGTTATTGGGGTCCTTGGGGATCTGTGCAAGTCTGTTTGTTTATTTGTGCCAGACCCCACGCACACATGTGGCTACTCTCGCTCGCCTGGTTTTACATTTCATTTATATCACCAAACGGAGTGAGTGGGACCGTACTATTAGATTAGTAATTGTACGGACGCACACATACAGATTCTTTCACTTAGTGGTGCTGTCAGAGTCACTCAATCTAATCTTAGTCTTGTAATGCATGCCTTGCTCTCTTCTTCATTTGTCTCTGTTGATCTCGGTCGACAGCACCAGGACTAATTAACTACTCAGCATTCATTTCTTATCCTTATTTCACACACACACACACACACACACACCAACCACTCAGATTTAGTTTAGGAGAATATTTAACCTTCCTGTCAGGAAGTAAAAGGGTTTTTAAACTTTTCTTAGTGGGAGGAAATTTTAGTTCCCTCGGGCAGATTTGTCTGCCCACGATTCCCATCATGCAAAAATAATTCTGCATTTCATTTTCCAATTCAAATATGAAATGAGACAACCAGTTCTAAGAATACATTCATGTAAGTCAGTGTCTGAAACACTCTGAGGCAGAATCATATTTTGTACCCATTTTATGTTTTTTTAAAGCTTTCCAAATGAACCCAAATTCTAATCCAGTGCTGATCATTATGAGATTAAACATTTGAATCTCTGGAAGGTATTTGAGCATTGTCCTTGTTTCCTGTAGTCATTCTATTTCATGCCAATTTATCCCAATTCACAGTTACTTGATTGGCTTCTGCTGAGGAGGTTAATTACCCATTGTTGGAATGCAGTGTAGCGTCTGGACCAATCAAACACACAATATATATTTTGGTTTTTATATTTAACAAATACTCTGTAACCCCCCTCAGTTAACAAGCCATACGATACTGTAAATATTTATCACAACCTTCAATTCTGTGACTTTGATTCCTGTTGTTTTATCTGAGTAACTCTGTGATATTCTGTCAGAGTTTTTTTTATTGTACCTTTTTATCTATGAGTTAACATTTTTTTGGTATTCATTGCTCTATTGTGTCTCTCTCGTTGTGTTTTGTAGATCCGGTTTCCATGAATAAGATCCTGAGCTAGAAATATGCAACAGGAAATGCTATGGATATCCTCCGTGCTGTAGATTTCTCCTTCAAATAGCATTTTGAGTGGATCACTTCATTTTTGAACTTCCGAACTCTTCAGCGGCCATGAGTGGAAGGAGCTCAGATTGATACAGGGTGCTAGGAAAAGACATCAGATGATGGGGACACCTGGCGGGCCAGTTCTGGGCGGGTTTGGCTCTACAACATCCTCCCTAGACCTTGTTGGCTGGATGGTTTGGCCTGGTAATACCACCGTGAGCCTGAACCAGAGCTTCTTCTTGACTGACTACAGCTTCAATCTCTCCTCCTCTTCTTCCTCCTCTCCTCATGGGGTCGAAAAGGAGTCGATGAAGGAGAAGAACTGGCCAGCCCTGCTGATTCTTGTGATTATCTCTCTGACGATAGGAGGAAATATTTTGGTTATTTTGGCCGTGTCGCTGGAGAAGAAGCTGCAAAACGCTACAAACTTCTTCCTGCGCTCGCTCGCAGTGGCGGACATGCTGGTCGGCATCTTGGTCATGCCCATCTCGCTCATTAACATCCTGTATGGTGAGTTTACCTTTTGATGCCATGGACCCCAAATATGACAATATCCTTCCTGAAATATAAAAATACATATTTCTGTAAAGAACCATTTATAGTGTGGAAAATTATTATTATTATTATGAATACATCTAAAACATTTTGAAATCTTTAAAAATGTTTTCTTTTACTATATTTAATATCATTAGTATCTAATATTTGTTTATTTATTTGTATTTTTATTGTTTATTTACATTTTACTATTTTTTTTATTTATTTATTTTTTTTTTCAGATTGGCAGATTTTTTTCCCTGACTTTTAAGGTGTAAAAATGCAAATGATTTAAAATTTTAAATAATGCCTGTGTGGTAAGTTTCTCAGACTATTGTATCTGATGCCATGGACCTAAAAATATGAAGATTTCCTTCCTGAAATATAAAGATAGCTATATATTTCCATATATAAATGAATTATTATTATTATTATGAATACATCTAAAACATTTTGAAATCTTTAAAAATGTTTTCTTTTACTATATTTAATATCATTAGTATCTAATATTTGTTTATTTATTTGTATTTTTATTGTTTATTTACATTTTACTATTTTTTTTATTTTTTTTAATATATTTTTTTCAGAACTGCAGATTTTTTTCCCTGACTTTTAAGGTGTAAAAATGCAAATGATTTAAAATTTTAAATAATGCCTGTGTGGTAAGTTTCTCAGACTATTGTATCTGATGCCATGGACCTAAAAATATGAATATTTCCTTCCTGAAATATAAAGATAGCTATATATTTCCATATATAAATACCCATTTATATTGCAAAAATAGTGAATATTATGAATGTATGTGAAACATTTTAAAATATTACAAAATGCATTCATAAATTTATTTATTTAAATGATTCTACTCTATAAAATAATGTAAATTTTACTCAGTCACCCTAGTGCCAAATTTGAAAATTCCTGATTGAACATAAAGCATATATTTGCATTGGACAGTTGCTGTGTCCCAATTCGAAGGCTGGATCCTTCCCGAAGACTGGGAAGGTTGGACTGAGCATTGTGAAATGGGACGGTCTAGCCTGTGAAGGATTGATCTTGTCGCATAGCAAGTGTGACAGCTGCCATTGACGAGCGGCAGTGACATTTGTATTGGACTTTTTTGAAAGTGATATTAAACTATCTGAAAACTAAACAGGGTTCGCAACCTGTCTTAATATGCTCACCTTGGTCCATTTATGTACATAATAACAAGTATAAACCACCTATAAAATCGCATCTAAGACATGTCAACATTTAAACTTCTTTAAATGGTTTCTTTCACATTTGCAAATTTGTATCGTTAGATATTTGAGTTGAGCTGAAACCCAATACTTACATTTAACAGTGTAATCTGGCATTTTCTCTCAAAAATTCCTGTCATCATCAGTAAAACAATGAATCTTCGGATAGCCTGGGCCACAAAGGATCCATCGGTAGTATCCTTCATTGCCCGGGAAATGAAGGACTAATTTTGAGGCCGCATTTGAAGGAGCCTTCGAATTGGGACAGCCTTTGTCACAACTACGGAGATGCAATCGGTCTTCGATTACAGCTTTTGAAAGATGCTGCCTCTGAATTGGGATGCAGCTAATGTCATCAGGATTTGCACTTTGGAGTGGTGTATTGTGGGTAAAGATTACTAAAGTATTCCAGGCTGGTCTATAGGCCAGGGTGCACTGGCTTTTAGGGTATATAAAAATGCAAATGGGATGCAAACTTTAAAATAATGCATCCTATTAAAAAGCCCCCATCACCTACAAAATATATCGTCACGAGAAGCCACACTTCCCATAACATAACTTCAGTGGCATTTCCCTTTAAGACCCAGGGGCTTTTTCAATGGTGCGAGTCCTTCTCCTCTTGCGATGTCATCTGATAATTAAGAGAAAAAAGTCAGAAATACAAGATGTTAACTCTGAGGTGTAAATTTCTATCTTGCAACTTAGACTCTTTTTTTCATATTTACAAGAAACAAAGTCCAAATTCTGAAATAAATTGCAGTTACCTTTTTTTATTCTGTGGTGGAAACGGGCTTCCATATAAACTAAAGGAAGATGAGAAATGTTGTCTTGACAACTAGCTGAAATAAAATAAGGTTTATATATCTCTCTGGTCTGAGGCAGCAGCTTCGTCACAGCAGCTCGTCTTCCCTGGCCCACGGTGCTTCAAGTTTTTTATGGGTTTAGTTTAAAAGTAGTTTACATGACATCATTGTACTAAAAATTGAGGTTTTTCCTTTGCTTTTTTATTTTTTTATTTCCACATACAGACAACAACACGGATCTGTGAAATTCCCCCCCCCCACACACACACAGACTCACATACACATAAGCACACAGATTGAACAGATAAAGATGGAGTGGAGGGATTGGGCTGCATGTTGTCATAAACAGTGAGCCTGTGATGGCCATTACCAGCAAGCTGTCACAAATATCATCAACTGTTAGAATGTGTGAACGTGTGCACTTCACACCCGAATGCTTTCACGCTCATAAACTCAGACATGCCTATGCCTATACACACACACACACACACACACACACACACAGACATAAAAATAGTTTTCCACTGCAGTGGATGCGACAATGATGGATTTCACACTCCTCATTTCATTTATGGTGTCTAATAGTGTGTGTGATTGTGTGTGTTTGGTGGGGGGAGTGTACCATGTATGTGACTGAGCTGGCATGTGACTTTCATAAGAAATAGCCATCTGACCTTAATTCAGTCTGTTTAATCTGTGTTAAGTTCCATCACATCATCTCAAATACAGACGAAAAGGAGGGTGAGATATGGGTTTTATAATGGAGTGATGTGGCCTGCTCACATGTATTAACGTCTGGAGGAAGCATAGAAACGATATCGCTAAGTATCAGCCAGAGACGGACAAGGAAGGAGAGAGACAGTGCAGTAGGAATGAAATCAAAGAGAAGCATTAGAGTGATTACCTCTGGGAACATACAGTGGCAGGATATGTTTAAGATGAGCTACGTATATACTGATACTCAACAGCTCAGATGGTGCTGAACCGATAGACATCTCACAAACCAATTGTGTCAAAAGTGGTATCTTTCACTCTCATATATATATATATATATAGGGGTGCCTATACGTTTTTCAGCCTGGTTCTCAGAAAAAGCACCTGAAGATTTGGTTTGGTCCTCACACTGCACATAGTGTGACCCATTAAATATAACTACAAAATAATAATAGTAACAATAATATTTAACTTTATTTATTTTTTTTACTTTATACTGGTTGTGTCAATGCAGCTTTACAGAGTCAAACAGGAAAATTGTTTGTCAGTGATGCAAGAAGAAAATAACAGTAATTTTTCAGCCAAAGTTCATTGATGATTCAGTGATGTCATCATCCAGTTCAGCTCTCTTCCAATAGTGTCTGTGCAATCAGTCATGCGTCCCCAACTAAGCAAGCCAAAGGCGACAGTGGCAAGGAACCAAAACTCCATTGGTGATTTTTCAAAATTATACTGGTTCCACGGTACATGACGGTATTTTTTTTTCATGCATGACCGGTTGTTAATCATATTTTCTACTGATTGAGAGAGGAAATACTGCAGTATATTGACTTAGAATGCCCTATTTTACTGTCATGATGAGTGAATATTGTCAAAAAATACCACACTAAATAGTGACTAAACACAACCCCTTTTAATACATGTTAACCAGGAGTCACTCTCATTTATAATCTCGGCATCGTCTGATAAAATCAACATGGATCTACACTAAAAAGCAGCTATGCGGTTGTTTTAGCTATATCACTTTTTTGTCTCATGCAGCGCACTGCCTGCGTCTGAGTAACAAACTAAAAAAAACAACAAACAAAAAGTGCATGTGATATTAACAGACGAACTACCCTCATATTTATAATTCCAAACAATCAGTAAGCGACAGGTGCTAGGAAACCCTTTTTTTTTTTTTTTTGTACTCATTTATTGACGAATCTGCTGTGGTGTGGCCAACTGAATGCGCTGCTTCTCTGCCGCTCACTGCACAGAACAGACGCCGAGAGAGGTGACACTTCTCCGGGAAAGTTAGTTCTATTAGTTCTACAGCATTAGTTTCCAAACTTTCACACTTAGTAACACATACAGCTGTTCCCTCACCACAGTGCAACAATGAAAAGGGACCCCTTTCAAACAGTGTCGCGTTCCGAACGTTGTTTAAGCGACATACACCGGTATTTGCGGTATCTTAAAAATGTATATCATAACAAAAATAAACACCGGTATTCGGTATGAACCGGTATACCGCCCAGCACTAGCGCTAAATAGGAAAAGGATCTGCCGCCTGCAGTTGATTTTATATTCTAGGTATCATCAAATGGCCAGAGTTTCGAGATCGCAGCGGACGTGAAGGACTATAATGCGATATGTGCTCGCTCAAGTACTGAGGAGCTAAACCATTCATGGCCATTATTAGCAAGATTTGAATATGTATTCGTTGTTCAATAGGGAGCCAGTGCAGAGTTGATAGAACCGGGCTAATATGGTCGTATTCCTGGTTCTAGTAAGAACTCTAGCTGCTGCATTTTGGACCAACTGGAGTTTGTTTATTAAGCGCGCAGAGCTACCACCCAATAAAGCATTACAATAATCTAACCTTGAGGTCATGAATGCATGAATTAACGTTTCTGCATTTGACATTGGGAGCATAGGTCGTAATTTAGATATATTTTTAAGATGGAAAAATGCAGTTTCACAAATGCTAGAAACATGAGTTTCAAAGGAAAGATTGCTATCAAATAGCACACCTAGGTTCCTAACTGATGACGAGGAATTAACAGAGCAGCCATCAAGTGTTAGACAGTGTTTTAGGTTATTACATGCAGAGGTTTTTGGTACAATAATTAACACCTCTGTTAACAATAATTAACTATGCATTCTGTTAGTTTTGCAAATTTGTATGTTTTATCAGGCCGCGAAAAAATATAGAACTGAGTTTGTGACAGTGAAAGCTAACATCATGTTTCTTGATGATATCTCCCAAGGGTAACATGTAAAGTGTGAAAAACAACGGTCCTACTGAGCCTTGTGGTACTCCATACTGATCGATATGATATCTCGTCATTTACTGCTACGAATTGATGACGGTCAGAGAAGTAAGATTTGAACCATGACAATGCAATTCCACTAATGCCAACATCATTTTGTAGTCTACTCAAAAGGATATTGTGGTCCATAGTGTCAAATGCAGCATTAAGATCCAGTAGCACTAATAGAGAAATACAACCACGATCGGATGATAATAGCAGGTCATTTGTAACTCTGATGAGAGCAGTCTCAGTACTATGATACAGTCTAAATCCTGACTGGAAATCCTCAGAGATACCATTTCTCTCCAAAAAGGAACATAGCTGAGAGGATACTCCCTTTTCTAGTATTTTTTACAAAGGGAGATTTGAGATCAGTCTCATAACATAACTATTGGTGAATTTAAATAAAATTTGTATGAATTCAAACATTTACACAAAATGGTGAAGGATTTACCACCTATATGTCAAAATGTAAAATAGTTACAAATCGTCATATGTGTTTTTTATTATTGTTATTATTTTTATGCCATTATTACAGTTATACATATATTAAATATACTGTGTGTGTGTGTATATATATATATATATA